ATTTTATGACAGTTGACTTGATGATTTGTATAATATTTCAATATCCTTTGTTGCATGTTAGTGTGTCTTGTTTTTGTTAGTATTACACTCCATTGTGTACTTTATTGTACATTTAAACCTAGACTGCTTTGATATTGTCAGTCTCTGTTTATTTTGATAAGGAACTTTACACCATATAATAATATGCTTATGCATGTACGTGTACGTGTACTTTATGTCTTGTACATTATTATTGTACATTATTTATGTACATTATTATTGTACATTATTATTGTACATTATTTATGTACATTATTATTGTATATTATTATTACGTGTACATGTAATTTATTGGTACATGTACATCAAGGCTGTCAATCCGCTACTCCAAAAGCTATTCAAAGATTCTTAACTGGATTCGATGCCGCCTTTCATTTTCTCTTTTAAGGAGCTCCATTATGTGTCTCAGAGGTGCTCACTCATCCTACCATCATCCCTGTCACTCCTTCCGATCTCATGAGCAAGCTCTCTCAGATGGGAGGGTTTACTAAACTACATGTACACAAATACTGTATACTATTATGTTCTATTATTTATCTGTCTATTTTTAACTCAGACACTCATACATATAACATGTATTATGTATATTGTATATGTATTTTTGTAAATAGTTAAAAAAAAAAACATGTACACATGTAGATTTGTGAGTTTAATTTTGGTGATTTCACCATTGTCTTACCTCATGGCAGCTAATACTTTTCTGTTTGGCATTTTTATCTTGTACATGTACATGTACGTGTACATGTACATGTACAGATGGGAGGGTTTACTAAACTACATACATTGTACATACTACATGTATATACTATATCTTCTGTATAATATTTAAATTTTTATCTCAGACACACATAAGTACATGTATATTAAGTATTATTGTTTTATCTTTACTATTAAAAAAAACATGTACATGTACATGTATGTGTACATGTAACTCGCCAAATTTAATTCCTCGCCTATAACTGTAACTTTCATTACGCGATACATGTACATGTACTTTGTGTATAGCTACTTGTGTACATGTACTTAATATTATTATTATTATTATTATTATTATTATTATTATTATTATTGTTGTTTTGTGTATTTTTTTAGGGAAAGTACTACATGTTACTAGAGAATTTGTCCCAGTTTTATCGAACCCTCATACCAACTCCTCTCTGGTTTGGATTCTGTTCCAACTATTATGATACCGGAGCTGTCTTTGCCATCATAGTCACTGCAGGGTACCTTATGATAAAAGGAGCCGTTATATTAGCCAGTGGTAGAGAGCTATTTAAAGCTGTTTGTACATTTATACGTGACAAGGTACAATGTACATACATGTACATGTACTATTTTTAGAGGCCTAAGAAATTTTTTTTTAAGTTTTTGAAGTCAACAATATAAATAAGTAATAATGCATGTACATGTACTTTTATTTAAAGAAATGAAAATCCTCATATTTATGTTGAGTTTTCCCACCCTAAAATGCACCCTTTTCACATATGATACATGTACATGTACATGTATCCATTTAAATGTACATTTACATGTACATGTGTGATTAAGTTAACCTTTTTTCTTTTTGATATTTGTCCGTAGACTTATGGCATTCCATTAAAGAAGGATGAGTTGCTGGAGAGTTGTGAGTCAACCTGCCCAATCTGTCAGGATGAATTCAATGCACCAATCATGCTAAGATGCAGGGTATGTTGTGTACAATTGTATATGTGTATTGTATGTTTCTGATTATTTTACATGTAACTGTACTCTCTCTCTCTCTCCCTCCCTCTCTCCTCTCTCTCTCTCACTCCCTCTCCCCCTCTCTCTCCTTCTCTCTCTCTCCCTCTCTCTCTTTTGTATGCTTTAGCATGTTTTTTGTGAGAACTGTGTCCTCCAATGGTTTGATAGAGAGAGGACTTGTCCGCTGTGTAGGGCGAGTATTGCTTGCGATCCAAAATGGCGGGACGGTTCTACGTCTGCTTGGCCACAACTATTTTAAGACGGCATCACATTTAAGAGCTCTCTCTCCTGTTTTCATTCTTTACTGTTATAAATAAATCTTTTTGTTTCATTTCTTCTTTTTCCTCCCTTCCCCCCCTCTCTCTCTCTCTCATCTGTTCACTGTATTATAATTATTATTCATTATTATTGTTATTATTATTATTAATAATAATTATTGCAATAAATTTTTTTGATGAGGAAATAAACGTATAAAGCAATCAACTCATTTCATTTTGTTCAGTTTTACCTTGAATGTAATGCAGCCCTGGGTAGTTTTCTGTATTATTATTATCATTGCAACTTGTGGCAGTGGAGAAAACAGTAAAATCTTGTGTACTTTTCTGGATCTAACTTATTGACTTCATTATAAACAGGTTGTTATGAAGGAGACTTGAGAGTTGATCCAGGCAATGGGCCTATACTGCAATTCTGCAGCGGAGGGATTTGGGGGTACATGTGTGCCAGTAATAATGTCAAACAGAATAAGATTAATGCAGATGTTGCTTGTCAACAGTTGGGAAAGAAGCTATCAAAAGGAGGTAAGACCATAGGTATGAGAGTCATGCATTAATTTTGTATAGATATCACTAATGTCACCAGTAATACTCGACTTTCGCCTATTTATTACTATAACTTTTTTGCATGCACTGGATATGAAACAAAACTGAAAGAATGTCGTACTCCTGTTATATACAATACATTTAATGGGAGATGCAGGAATGATCTTTATGCTGCTGCCGTATGCGAACCAGCAGGTATTATTATAGTATTTCTAATATCTACTACATGTATGTTGTGTGTTTCTTAATGATCAGAGTGCAGGAATGGAGATTTAACTGTGAACAAGTCAAGGAACCAGTTTCCACTTCAGTTCTGTGCTAGAGGAAAATGGACTTTGCTCTGTGGGTTTGGGCATACTTGGACTAGAGCACAAGCAAAAGTAGCTTGCAAGCAATTGGGACTAAACCCAATAGGTATATGTAGTCCTGGTATATTATGTACATCTCACATGTTTTTGCAATTGATATGTGCATGTATTATTACATTTATAATAGGTGCTGAGCCTGGAGTAGTAAGTCTTTATAGCAGGACTGTTGGTGTATTTAATGGTCGGTTTCACTGTAGAGGAAATGAGAGCTCACTTTTAGCCTGTTCCTATAGCCTAATGGTCAGCCCTCCCTGTACAACAGCTAATCCCATAGCTGGAGTAGAGTGTGGCGGTGAGAAATGGTTTACAAAACAACTAAACTATTAAATATTGTATTTAGAATGGCCTAAAAGTGTTGAAAGAATTCGGACGAAATGGTCAAGCTCTATACTTCACATAAAGTGGGAACATGATGCCACGAATTACTATGAGACAACAGATAAAGATGAAGATGATGCTATCTGGTATACTGTTTACTGTAGATCTGATAGTGAGATAGAAGAGGCTTGGATACAAGTCACAACCACCAGTGCAATGGTAACTGGTCTATCTCCTCTCACTAACTACACTTGCTGTGTTGAGTTAACTGAAGTACCATATATAAGAGAAACATGTTTGACTATTACTACAGGTCCTCCTAATAGTGAGTTTCATGTACATGTACATGTACATATACACCCAGTAACTTAACAGTGTTGTTAAGCCCAACATACACTATGCAATATTTGTTTCAAACAACTTGTTGCATCATTTTTATGCAACACAGTTTATACAGGAGTCAATAGAGCTTGCAACATGTTGCATGAATAGAACTTTTTCCTATTTCATGCAACATGTTGCAAGCTCCAATGACTCCTGTATAAACTGTGTTCCATGAAACAAGTTGTTTGCAACAAATGTTTGCATAGTGTATGTTGGTCAAAATATTTATTAGTGATATGCCAAAATGTGCATTCATTAGCAGATAAACTTCAAAGATCATACATTAAATATTGCCAATGTCGCTCTGTATGTGACTTCTTTTGTTATGTCTTTGTATAGTTTCATCACAGCCAAACGTGACTGCTACACCTGGTGCTTATGGCTCCAGCTCAGGTGATGCCGCTGTTTCAGTAGGAGCTG